GGCGCTCGGGAGGGAGGGCTTGGAACACCACAACTTCCACGAAGACGTAATTTCTCTCTTTCTTAATTCAATCACAAACTTAGGGTAAATGCCTACATCAGTTTCCTAGGGTAATACTTACAGACAGGAAACTCACTTTTAAAATGAGTGTTTTACTCTTGCACTGCTGGTGGGAATGTGAATTGGTTCAGCCACTATGGAGAACAGTACGGAGGTTCCTTAAAAAACTACAAATAGAACTACCATATGACCCAGCAATCCCACTGCTGGGCATATACCCTGAGAAAACCATAATTCAAAAAGAGTCACGTACCACAATGTTCACTGCAGCTCTATTTACAACAGCCAGGACATGGAAGCAACCTAAGTATCCGCTGACAGATGAATGGATAAAGAAGATGTGGCACATATATACAATGGAATATTACTCAGCCATGAAAAGAAACGAAATTGAGCTATTTGTAATGAGGTGGATGGACCTAGAGTCTGTCATACAGAGTGAAGTCAGTCAGAAAGAGCTGCCTGTGTGACAAGATTACGGAGTGTGTCCGTCTTCTTTTTGCATTTTCTACACCATCGGGAATGGACAGGCATTATCTCTATCATGAAGGATCTAGCAGAGTTCTTATTTGCCGCCCAAGCTGCGCTTACCAGTTAGACCTGGAGACGTGGGCCACAGGGGCACTGGCCCAACAGGCTGGTCACCACACCGCCAGCTGGACCACGCTCCCCACCAGCAGGCCACGGGAGGAGGCTCATCCCGCTGCAACACCCATTTTGAGCCGCTGAAAGTCGGCAAGTTGCCTGCTGACCGTGACTCTCTGAAACGGTGTGGCCGCCAGTGGTCAGCAGAAGCGATGGGAGGAAGGGCCCGCAGTGACCAGGCCCGGAGCCTCCTGGGAACTTCGGCGCCACGCTGCCCGCGCCCCCCGCGAGGCTCCGACCTGTCAGATGTGTGCCAGGGCTCTGGGACACCTCGGGAGATTTAAAAGCTCCCGGGCAGTCAGCTGGAGCCAGTGGCTTAGGGAACAGAGAAAGGGCAGCTGGCAAAATTGGGAACCGCATTTTATTACCAAACAAAATCTAACAGCTAGGAATCACACTGTTCTAAACTCAAAGTCTCAAGATACGGTACAACATTTCCACATTTCTGGAAAAGCCCACAAAGTGTATTTGCAAAAGGCTAACAGAGGCAGACACCAATGGAGATGAGCACGTCACATCAAAACACCACCAAGAAAAAGAAAATTCAGGTCGATTTAGCATTGGTTCGTTCACTGCTTACTGAGCACCTCATGGGTCAGGCACTCGGCCCTGAGCACAGGCTCCTGCTCTGTCAGTGCAAGGAGACAAAAGATAAAAGAGAAACGTACTCTGAAGACAGACACAGAATATGCGATATACAGAGATTATCCATAAATTATGGGGTCTACTTTCCAACACGAAGAAAAATTATTCTTAGACCTTCCCTCTTATTTTTATTTATGCTATAATTTTAAATGCCCCCTTCCTCCAAGCTGGCCATTGGAATCTGGCCACCACGCAGCCATGCATCCGACATGGTCTTGCTGTGTAACTCTTACTGAACCTGACTCAACCCTCCATTTGCTTTTTTCACATCCACTACTGACAGTCTATGAAACGACACTTTGTGTACCTACATTTTTACGCAGGACGCTTTAAAGACAAAGGGACAGGTGTAGCTATTGCAGCCACACCTTCCACCTTCCCTGGCACACGGCAACATCAATAGCCTAACTGACAACCCCCATCAGCAGCTTTGACAGCTGTTTCAACCTCACTCTCTCTGACAATCAGAGGGCCCCGTGGAGTAACCAGCGTTACACGAGGTGGACCACACAACTGCAAAACTGCCAGGGCTCTGGGTTCAGATCCTGGCCTCACTGCTACGACCGAGTGGATCTGGGGGAGTGAGTCCATCTCAGTACCCTTGCCAATGACCCCCGCCCCGCCGCCTCCTATAGGAAGTGAAAGGGGACCGTCAGCCTCTGGCTGCTGCAGGCACTGCAGCTCTGAGCAGTCCAGCCACGCGGAGGCCTCGCCACGGCATATTCAGACCCTGCTGGGGGCCCAAGCCCAAGAGGCAAGAACGAACACCTTTGACATTTGCCGCCTGGACAGACGTGTCACTAAAACTGCCACCTCCGAGGGTCTGCTGGCGCTACCAAGCAGCCTCCTCTTGATTCGATTTCCCACGTGAAGACGTGACAGCCAGCGCCGGCCTCTGCCGGACACTCGCTGTCACCGAAGATCTGGGCTCCCGCGACGTGCAGAACACACCGGCTCCGGCGAGACGGGCTTCCGAGTGAGTCCCGTCTCCCGCCAAATTCCTCACCCAACCCCTCTGGGAGCAATCAGCCGACATGGGGCCCAAAGCCGGGTGGAAGGCCCTGGAGGTCTGGGCACACTCCCCGCCAGATGGCTGGCCCTGCCTTCCCGATACCGGGGCCACTGGCTGGCAGCCACCACCTCTCAGCCTTGGGCGCACCCACCCCGTTCCTTTAAAGTGTGCCCAGGCATCCTCAGCCCCATCAGGTCCAGCACCGTCCTCTCCCACCTGGGGAAAGGCAGGGGTCTCCCACCAGCCTCCCTGGCCCCCCACACAGCCAGAGGGTCCTCGTGAACCTTCTCACCCTTCAGCAGGGTCCAATCCCTCCTCGGTTCCAAACACTCCCCTGCTCCCAGCTAACTGAGTAAAAGGCAAAGGGCTTTCGATGACCCGGAGGCCCTCCACCCATCTACCAATGTGTGGCTGCTCCCCGTCCCTCAGGCCCAGCCTTGCCACTGCTCCAGCCCTCCGCCCTCCACCTGCCTGGGATGCCCTTCCAGACCTTGCACGGCCCAGCCCTCCTCCCTCAGTCCAGGCTTGTTCTGGGCCTTCCCAGCACCCGGACCACCCTCCCCACTCCTCACACGCTGGGCTGTGTTGGGTTTGGGGTTTCCAGAGCATTCATGGTGCAGCGTGCAGTATAACGCCGACCATTTACTGTCTCTCTCCCCGTTAGTGGGATGGGGGCACATGACAGAGGCACACAGTGGGAGCTCAAAACGCCCTTTGCTGAGGGAATGAGGGGCTGTGGGTGCCCCAAGGCCGGCAGCAGCATGGTTAATCCGGCTGTCTGTGCGTCCAGGGCTCTGGGTTGGACCCTACAGGGACCCCTGGGACGGACGGGCGCTCTCCGCGAGCCGGGATCAGGGCGTCGTTTCTAAGAGGGGGGTGGGTAAGCAGGGGGAGGCTAAGAGCAAAGAAAGCAATCTGAAAGCGGGCAGTGAACTGCAGCCATGCGCTGCAGGGGAAGGAAAGAACTCTACAGCTGTGTGCGGGAGACCCGGAGAGGATCCGATGGGCACAGCTCACGACAGGCAGCCCTCCTCAAACACGATCACGGTGGCAGAGCAGCAGCCGAGGCCAGGAGTCGGCACCACGGCCACCAGGCCTCCCCTGTGGGGCCTGGGGTCCGACTTGGGCCCCTCACGAAAGAGTGCCCTGAATCACAGCCCGCATTTCACGAGACCAGTTTCCGACAGCCAGGTCAGTGGGACTCTCCCTGCTGGATTCCAAGCCAGTGTGTTCAAAGCAGAGCCACCGTGTGCCCACGTCAAGCCCCCACCTTATGTGTGGCACTCAGGTGAGGGCTCAGCAAGGAGTCACTGGACAGCCCCGGCAGCCCCGCAACGGGGAGGGTGTGAGATACGGAGAGGAAAGCAGTCAAAAGGGTGACACCACGGTAGCACGCGTTTGCCTAAAACTCATTCAGGGTTTGAGAAACTGACTAAAAACAAAGTCGCTCACCCATTTTACCCTTAATTTCTCAAGAGCTGAAGGAAAAGAGAACTCCGTGTGGGCTGCGGGCCAAGCAACTTGCCGACGTGCATATGCGAGGGTGCCGAGTGGGGGGACCCACGGGCCCAGGTGCGGGGCGGCCCAGGGCCTGGGCTTCACGTGCAAGCGTCCCAGGAGAGCCGGGGGCCAGGGGGACACAAACAGACCCCCCCCCGCAAGTTACTCAACGGGTAGGCCCCGGGGGCACTGGGAACCTGCGGGCGCATCAGCGGGCCTTCCGGGGAGCCTCTGAAACACGCCTGCCCGTCTCCCAACAGTGCAAAGCCGGTCCTCCCTGCGGAGTCCAGTCCAGGCCGAGAGGGGGCGCACAGGCGCGAAGGAAACATCCCAGAGCTCAACAGGGCGATCGATCACACGGGCACCTGGGGGCGGGGGGTGATGTGTGTGAGGCACGATGAGCGGAGACCGTTTCCAGGTCGTCGGGAAGCGGCAGAGAGGCGCTTCGCTGGCGTCCCTTCCGGTAAGAGCAGAAGAGGAGACTTTCTTCTCTGAGGCGGGGCCCCTGGGGACTGAAGGCAGATCAGACCGAGAGCATTTCCTTGTGGGCAACACTGAGAACTGTTTTCAGTTTAACCTGCAGCAGCTGTAGACTGTCCAGGATACACCATTAATCAATCCAAAGAGAAAGAAGCCTCATTTTCGTTACCCACTGAGTTAGGGACCTTCAAACACCATGACCTAGAATCGCAGCACAGCTAACTCTGTTCCCCACGGTCATGGGGATCTCAGGAAGGACGGCAGTTCACCGAGAAGCAAAAACCATCCCATTTTGTCCTCCACCCAGCACGTGTTCCTGCACTGCAGGGATGGCTCCCGGCCACCAGCGCCGAGGCCCGGGTGTGCCTGGCGGGGCGAGGCTGGAACCACACACTGCGGCCAGGCGGCCCGGTCTTTCCCACGCCCGGGTCTGCGGCCAGCATGACCCCCTCCAATTCCTCAGGGAATGGGACGCAGGGAGAGCCCAGCGGTCCCCCAGGCCTTAGGTGAAGAGCAGCCCCCCGCAAGGCCCTGGCAGGACTCCGGGCGAGGGGCAAGGGAGTGTGGGGCCGGGCTCTGGGGAGAGGGGAGGACACAGGGCCTCGAGAGGCAGGGAGAGCACTGGCTGCACTGAGCGACGGCGAGCGCACACAGCCGCAGGCCAGGCCACGGGCCCAAGTGAGGCAGGGCTGGGCCCCAGCTCCAGCGCAGCAGGAGGGCAGCCCCGGGACGGGTGGGCAGGGCAGGAAGGGCGGGCGCTGGCTCAGCAGCAGTGGCTCCTTGCTCTGACCCTGTGGGGCCTCTGTGCGGTGCTGGGGACACAGCAAGGCCTCCGGTGCTGTGGGGCACGGACACACACACACACACACACACACACACACACACACACACACACACA